GGGCTGGTTTAAGAGACCACTGACGAGACGACGGCCGAGCTACATATAGATGGCACTAACGTTTCAGCGGCTGCACATTCTTGTTATCCGGTTATCCAACTGACCAATAAAACATCCTGTAGATAGTTTATGCATAGGGGCCAYGAGTCATCTAACGTAAGCATACATTAGAAACGGAAGATTATAATTTAAAACTAMGAATTTGAAAARATAAATATTACAAATTCACAGGCAGAAACAAACTTGGCATCTGACRCTTGCGACGCAGTTTCTAAGGAACTTTTTGGACCGTCTCCAAAGTGACTTATATCCCCCAGACCGTCGAGGTCTGACGACTATTTCACTGAGGTTCTGTATTAGAAATGACGGCCATGCTTTCGAAGATCCATACACCACCAATTGTTGATAAGTTGTTATGTTGTATGGCAAGTTCATATAATTTCGGGGTATCGATCGAAACGCCCAAGGTCCTTGCATCCGACGTAATGAACGGCATTTTATCCCCATAAATGGCGAAACAGATAGGTCTAGCGTGTCCGTTACAGCATGGACATTAACTTCAAAAAACTCGCGTTTCTTCTTCCTGCAGTTGTCGTCCATTTATACAAATAATACACACGATGTCYGATTCATTATTCCATATCTAGTTGTAAATAATGCGATCATGCAATACAAATACGTACGGTTAAATAAATACTGTATATGATTATGTTATATTTTATATAGACTTATAATATTTTCTAAWCGAGTWATATGATAATAAATGTTCTACTTGTTTATAAAGGAATGCATTGATAAAAAATAAATCCATTTTACATTATACTATTGATTAATAAAAATGCATTTTCCAATATTTTATATTTKATAAAGATATAATATATGTAGTAGAATTAAAAATGTATATAGTCGATATAATATTATTGTATATATAGATAATTTTTTATCTAAATCGTATAAGATTGTATTTACTTTTTGTTATAAAAGAACGCTTTTAATTGTTACAAATATTAAATAAACAATGTAATATGAATATAATATTATTATCTATGACGTTTCAACACTGTTTACAGTTAGCGTGTAAAAATTAGAATAAGTATAATTAGTAGTACTATACTATTGTTTCCGATTAACTCTTAAATCGGAATATCGGTTAAACTTACGAACAAATATAAATACAATAAAAACTCGCATTTATACATTCGACAGCGTGTTTGACATAATATAATAGTATTTCATAATATTAAATACACATTTAAAAGAAAGAAAAAAAATATTTACTGATATATCAACGT